ACCTCCTTTATCTGTAGCTGTTACATAATTTTCTACTAACATTAATTCTTTATCTTTAAACTGTCCATTTTTATCGTCTATTTTAAACTTCTGATTTTTAGTTACATTTTCTTTACATTGAGCGATTAAGTGCCCAAATTTATGATATCTGAAACAAGGTCCTATTCTCATATTCGCCATCTTTTCTTAGATTTAGTTTTATTTTCAACTCTATCTTTCCCCACATTTAAACTAATAGTATTAAACACGCTTACCTTGCTGTCTTCTAAATCGGCGTTTACCTGGCGAAGTCGGCTTTCTTCCCTTACCAGTTCTTCAGCAATTCTTTCCAACGTAAAATCTTCGTCCTTCCACCTATAGATCAACTGTACAATGCCGGAGTATTCCTGGGGTAATCTCCTTATTGCCTGGAATCCTTTAAAAAGATCTGCCAAATTGTGACCAGCTTCAACCAACTTCTTTGCAGGCATTCTTATCCTCGCGATGAATAATCCTATTTCTTCAGTGGCGTATATCTAATACTAAAAAATTCATCCAGTAACTGAATTATCCTTGCTCTTGTTTTGAGTTCGAATTGCTTCTATAGAACTTCCCATGCTTCTTTACCACTTGAACATTCTTGTATCAGTGGCCTGAACTCAGTTTTAATTCCGTAATATAATGTAGTGAAGGCTCTGTTCTCTCTCAGTGGGAACTCCTGCTTTTCACGCCTTGTTGCACTTTTATCTAATTCTTCTTCTTTGTCTTCTATGAAGCTCCAACAAATTTCTATCCAGTAACAGCATTTTCATGTCGACTTTCCATCAATCCCAGTTGTCATGGTTTAACAGCTCAAAACCTTCATAGAAATGACATCTTCAATTAAGTGTGAGCACAACGACTTGAACAAACTTCTAAGACTGGTCAGCTTCTTTTCGTGGATAACGGCCCTCTTCACCTACATTCCTTCAATGCTGAGTTGAACTGGATGACCGATTAGCTGTTGTCGCTGGCCCATAGCCCTGTAGGCAGTGGTGATAAAGGCAAAGCATATTTTGCTTCCCTTAAATAAAGCTAAGACTTATCTAAATAAAATTCATGCTTTATTCTGTAAATTAAAATAAAATAAGCTAACACTGCAGCCTTTACATTTAAAATCATTAAGTGAAGAAGAAGAAGATTAGGGCATTCCCCGTATCGAGAACTCAATCTCATTCCGGGTCCACTCCCCCTTTGGGCACATCATGGTGGTTCAACCTCCACTATTACCCTTCAGGAGAGCAGCGCACCACCTGGGGACACCAGGCAGCACCGGTCGTCTAATGCTCCTACCAGTCGCTTGGGCGAGCCCGTCGCAGCGGGACATTACCCAGCGACCCCGGGGGGAGACCCCCGGGTTACTAGAACCACGCCGCGCTAGGACGTGCCAGACTCCGGGGCCGGCCAATAAGTGACCTTTCCCAGAGCCTTCAGAACCACCAAGTTCATAAATTTTATACCCCCGTGGCCGAGACTGCCTAGGTACAGATCCTAACCAGTAGCTTCGCAGAGTTCTCTATGTCGACCCCCGGGGGGGGATCATTAAGTGAAAGAAAACTAGCATTATGCTAACTCATAACAACACAAGAGAACAAGACATTTGCTGATACCGGCGTACATATATATATAATACTCGGCCAACCCACCGATCTTGATGTCATCGGCCAATCAGCGGCAACCACGTTAGCTTACCGCCGATTGACCTTCGATCAAAATTTGCATGTGGAAAACTAAAGCAAAACAAATTTGGCACCCCTTGGATGCTGCGCCTGGGGACAGATGTCCCCCCTTGCTACGTCATTGCGTAATAGATAGAAAAAGTTGAAAAAGGAAAATGATTAGTAACGCAACATATTTGCAAATAATAGACACATCTAACATTATCTAAAATCGGTGTCAAAGTGAAGAGACGACAACTTTTTTATAACAAGAATAATGCTTCCTACCTGTTTAACTAGAAATGGTGAATATGCCCCAAGTAAGAAGTCAGAATGTACAACAGCATCGATCCAAATTTCATCGCAGGAGAATAATGACATATCCTGACTGCAAACTATCATACTGCCAAACTGGTTGCTGACATTCGTCGAAATCTGACCACTGTTAAGCGAATATGGAACTGAAGGTCGACGAAGGACGGACAGAGTGGCTTCAAGTGACACCACAGCGCGAACACCCACAAAATCAGATAAATTGTGCGAATGGCCTGTACAACCGCACGACGAACCCTATACAGTGTGCGGCATGATAAAGGAAGCACCTACATCAAACGTCATCTTACAGACTTTGATAAACCTGAATGACACAGCGGACATCATTGACTACAGCGATGAATTAAGCGACACTCTTCAATGGCGGGATATTGTATTCTCTTATGAATAATACTTCTGCATGAAATATCATGATACATGTATGCACATACTACATTGTTGTGGTGAACGTTTGTTTGAATCTTTGTTAATGCATCGGTGTAAAAGCCTGGCACAGGAGTTACAGTATGGGGTGCTAATGAATATGAATATTGCTACGCTTAGTAAAATACAGACTCTGAAAGTCAGCATTACATAAACGTTAAAGTCTGTACTTCTCATATATCTTCAGGAAAACCCTAGAGTTTCTCTTGCAACAAGAAAATACCCGACTACGTATTGCGCTTGACTTTCAACGCTTCCTCATTGACAGTCTTGGCCAGCGTGTTCACTACACCTTTCCTCGACTTGTTTAATAAACGTAGTTGTGCCAATGTGAACGATCGCATACACATTGGCACAACAAAGGCCCTCAGCTATCAGATGAGTTCTAGCAACAAATTATAACCATCTGCAGTATTCCAAAATGTTTTCTAGTTGTTTCTTAAAGTTCCATCCGATTATTTTATCATTATGACTCATACAGCACATTTAGTTGCAGTGATGTCCCAATGTTACATTTTTGTCACATTACATTTGTGACCACGATACGATGTCACAAAGATGTTACATTGTGATGTGGAGGTGAATGTCGCATGGATGTCACATACACGTCACAGCAAATATTAAATGTGACCGTAAGAAATTTCTCTCCCCCCCTGACCTTGCCCTTCCGATTCATTGTTAAGTGTTTCAATAAATCTTTCGAAATAAATTATTTTTTATGCTAATAGCTTGCAATTTCAGTTATTTGTTTTTTATTAAAATCATTGACAATTTATAGCTGTTTTTATTGATGTGAGACTTAAAAATCGTGGAACTATGCTCTGCATTGAATGAATACACATGCTACCCCCATATGTAGTGCTATCAAGAAAGACTGACTAAAGAGTTTACTATAGCGTTTTTAGGGGGGGCAGGGGTCTTGATTTCACGATCATTTTTCTAGCTCTTTTCCTTTTATTAGCTGAAAATCACGTCACTGCTGAATTTTCAAGTAAGCACTGTTTATTGTATATTGATTTGCATGGTATCAGTAAACTAATACTCGTATATAACAATAAAAACATAATCTAAAAGCTATGATAAAAAAGAAATAATGGATTAGCAATCAATTCACTTTCCTTTTATTATCAAGAGTTCGAAAGCAAGGGCATCAGCAAAAGTTTACTCTCATTTTTGTCTCACAGTTTAGAAATTTTAATTTAGGGTGTCAGTTTTATTTGTTAGATATAATTCAAGTTCTGTTGCTTTTAATATTAAAAGAGGTGACAAAGGAATTTATTTTATATATTTTATTGCAGTACGTTGGCCAATGTTGTACTATTTTTAAAAATTAATTTTAAAATTTTCATAAATTAATTTCCATGTATGGTATTTTGTGTCACATTACAAATGGCACCATATTTCGCAACATTACAAATGATGTTACGGAACTTCCGTAATCAAGTTATAATTATACTTAATAAGAGTTTTAATTATTATAATTTTACAAATGGCATATTACTTTACAATGTTTAATTTTTTTCACGTTTCCTTTTGCTAAACTTCTGAAATTATTTCTAAAATTTATTACATTAGATCTTTTCTTCCAGTAAATTATGTATGCTTTTACATGTAATGTGTTTAAGTTGTATTGTCAAAGTAAATCAGTTTCCTTATTAAAAGAGATTTAGTAAAAGAAAAATATTTCTTAGTTTAGGTTAGGTTACTTGAATACGGCAAAACACACAAAAGCTGCCTATCTAAGAGGAGGTATGCTTTATGGAGAATTTTTTACGGGAAACAGGTTCATATTTAAGTTTCAGGTTAAGAAAACCCTGTTTCTTACTTGAGAGATTAAGGGAATATAATTATGGTATTAAATTTTTAATAGGTACATTATTTAAACATAACAATATAAAAACAAAGAAATTACTTTTTATCGGTACTTATATATGAATAACTATCAGTTTTTGATAAGTGGCCATTGGAACTGACTTCCAGGTGACTTCAGGTGCTGAACCATCACAGCTGAAGTGAGTGCTGGCAATGAGGATGGTAATAATTAAAATTTTAAAAAAATTCCGAAGATTTTTTTGTAATTTGATAAAAACAGTTAAAAACTGAATTGCTATCTGATCTCCATGCGCAAATTAAAATTTAATAGCTAAATTCTGAAAGGCTTATTAATTTAAGAATGTCTCTCAGAAATCAAGCTAAGAAATCAAGTTCTAAATAAATTTTCTCAGAATAATAGGAAAAACTCATTGTAGTACTATTATGCCGCATGCAGTATTGTGTGCTAATGTAATAAAGGAAACACACAGTTATAAACTTGGTTATAGAAAAGGCTTAGTTAAAGACTCAGCTATACATTTTTTTTTTTTCTTTTTTTTTTTTTTTCAGTGAATTCCTTCTACACAAGGCTTGCAAAAAAATATTTCAAGTGCAGTGGTAACTTGATTTCACTAGGACTCTAAATCTGTGAGCTAAAAATAATAAACACATTTAAAAAATTTCCTTTGAGAGGTTCCCCCCCGCCCCCCAAAAAAAAGGACAAAGAAAAAGGTATGAGGAAAAATACAAACAATATTTTCCAGCACTTATCTTTTATTTCTCTGCAAAATTTAAGTTTCATCAGTACAAAGTAGTTGAAATATTTCATTATTCACATAATATAAGGCACATGTTTAGCGGCTTCTTAACACTTTTTAAAACCATCCACTTTACAAAAACTATAAATCTTGAAAGAATATATCTTGAATAAAATCAGACTGCCTACAATTACATACAGATAAAAAAAAGTTCAATTAGATTCTCCCTCCTCATTTGATTCATACGCTCTTTGATTCATTTGCATTAAGATTGCATAATTTAAGTGCTTTGATTTTTTTCCCTTAAAGTAAAAAATATGTAAAACATGTATCCAATTAATAAGATTAAGTTAATAGGCAAGAAGCCTATAAACATGCGTCAAGCTCAAGCGTGCTGGCTTCTGCAATGCTTAATTATGATTGCTATCTCCACTTTCAGTAATTCAGGGGGTTTTGCCTTTGTTCAAACTTGAGAGTGGTAGTATGTATTGATTAGCAGTGAAACTTTAGAGAAAATTAAAACTAATCATGCAAGTTTGCTCAAAGACAGAATACCAATGCCAAAATTCTTCAAATCTGGTCTATACTTTTAAATATAAGATGTACTTTTTTATAATATGAGATATAACAAAGATTACAAAGGAACTTTAACTGTAATACAAAAGTAAATAAAAAAATCTAAATTTAAAAGAATGTACGGTTAATGATTAGCTAATGGGAATAATCTTAACTCTGGTTCTAACCATAATGAGTGATTAAACAGGAGAGAGTACATGCTTAGAAGTTTGGTGTTACTGATCTGCTTCAACAAGCATACATAACTATCCCTGGGAACAAACAACTGGTTTTGACTCCACATTATTAAGAACCATTTCGCTGGGAACTTGATCAACAATACAGGGCTCGGTTTCCAAAACTCCATTAGATGCGGAATGTGTTTCTTGAAAATTTTCTTTTTCGGATTCATTTTCTTTAGGAGCTCGAAGGAATTTGAATCCACCACTTCCATCAGGTCCTTTGGGTTGCCGAATCAAAATGAGACGAGGCCCATTTCCATCTGAAGATATGGTACGTAAGCGATTTAATCGTTCTGGCCGCTGCAAAGGTTGGCTTTCACTAATAAAGAATAAAGTACTGAATATAATTAGCAATTCTTTAGACAGAATATACAAATATACAGCAATAACAAAAAAAAAAAAAAAAAAAAAAAAAAAAGGTAAGGTACAGATTATAAATATAATACTTTATCCTCTCAATATATCCCCTCTAAAACAAGAGCACTACACAATAAACTTTAGAACTGCAAAATTAAAATAGACATTTTATAGTTGATAATTTATATAGTAGAATCCACAAATACCCCCTCCCCCCAAAATAGATTTGATTGACAAAATTTTAAATGCTCCTTTTATTCATTTTTTTTTTAATCACAAGCTAAGCCATAAGACACACTATGGTCTGTTACTAAAAAAAAGAATTTCAATGTCACTTTCTGCCATTTAACTTCTCTCATAACCATGAGAACGAAAGTTGCAGCAGACAATTTGAGTCGGCTAATTTTTTCCTCCATTCAATTTCCATTTAGTATGTTTCACTTCTTGTGTGTGTGATTATGGCAAAGCCTCGAGGGCTATCTGCCTATGAGGAGAGATGCCTTCGTAGAGAACTTTCTAAGGGAAACTGGCTCGTATACACGTTATACATGGGGAAAACCACGAAAACACCCATGCAGCCAGCCCACTCGCAGTATTCGAACCTCGGACTGAACTACCAGTGTTCAGCGATTTTACCGCTCGGGGGCTGTTTCACTTCATGAAAAGTGAAAGAATGTAGACTTGAAGTGCAGAAAGTAAGTGCTATATGGTGATGATGACATGCATTATAATTTCAAATGTGGTGGCTGCTTTTATTTTATTTTTTAAATCTGTTGTATGATAGCTCCTACACAAGATGTTACTGAGTAGCAAAAATAAGTAACTGCTTCAGGAGCTGTCCGTAAGGAGACATACAAGAAAGGGCTGGAACTGAAGGCATTTTACACAATATTAGTGAAATGTTTTTTAGGCATTAAATAAAAAGGTAGTTCATATCGACTGGAGAGTTAATTGTGGTCGAAAAAATTTTCACAGATTGCAGCTATATGACACAGACACATGGGCAGATCATATCCAATTTTATAACGAACATTATGCAGGGTGCAGAAATCCTAATTATTTTCAAGACAGAATGCCTGTGCAACAATTAACAGCTTGCGCTATCAATTCACAACTTCTACATATAGAAGGGTATTACCAAATATGATAAGTTTCCTTCCTATACTTTGTACAATAACAATGCAACATGTAAAATGAATCGCAGGATGCTTGCAGTCTTTAATGAAGACTATGTACAATGTGTAGTAAAAGTAGAGAATAGTTTTTTGTTATTTTACAGGCATTATATACATGTTCACATAGTTTGAAATGGGCACTTTTGTTGCAGTTGACGTGCATATATACCACCAAACATTCAATTTAACAATCATAGTTTAAATAAAGAGCTATTATCTTTTACTTACAATCCTGCTGATAAACTATGAACAAATCAATTTGCTATGAAGATAACTGTTTAGAGAATCATGCTTAAAATGTCACCTAGGTTCAACAAGCATTCTGAAAAGCTCTGTCATATTACCTGGCTAGGAAAATCCTCACACCCGAATTCTCTTAAAATCTATGAGACCACTTAGAATAGTAAGTCAATAGGAAGCAGCAACATTCCAGGAATTTGATTTAACTTCAGAATCTGATAATGCCAGAATGACTTCAATTTAAGGTGTGCCAGAATGATTTCAATTTAAGGTGACCATCATCTACAAATTTGTAGAATCCTTTTCACAACTTAACTCACTTTTAATTACAACTGCTGCCATTTATGCAACAGGGAAATTCATTACATAGTTATTTACTATAGAAATTGTTTTAAAGTATATTTTTTATAATATATAGCACACCTGCCAAATTTAGCTGCAGTTTAAGTGTAAAACCATGATTTGTAAAATTAAGAGTTAATAGATTGTTCAGACACTGTACTTAACATATCATTCAATGTGCATGTGAATATATATTACTTTTTAAATATTGCTTAATGTAAAAATTCTACAATATATCAAATGACTTCTATTTTGAGCATTTTAACCTATTTCAGCATGCTATCATTTTGATCAGCCAAAATCAAAGACTTTAGAACTTGTGTTCAGTAGTGAATCATCTAAAAATAAGTTTTCACTTATTATGCTAGGTTTACTGAAAATATTGTCTATTTCCAAATTTGCATTCAAACTGGCATACCTACTGATTTCAACAAACCTATGGAAGATTTGAAAATTTTACATAAAAATTACCAGATTTTCACACAACAATTATTTTTGAGTTTTACTTATAGATTCTTACCCAATCTTTACAACACTGCAGGCTGAGAACTTTCCAGTGCGTTGATGATGAACTACAACAAATTCAACTTTATCTCCTGGTTGAATGGTCCCATCACCTTTTACTTCAGACATATGAAAAAATAGTTTTTTACCCTCTTCAGCTTCATAAGAAAGGAATCCAAAATTTCCTTTGATAGTATCTACAGTAGCCTATAATAAAGCCATTAATTAATTTTCACTATATATTTATTTACACTACATATACACATTTTTATAACATAAAGTAAAAAATTAGCTGCACTAATAAACATAAAATTATAAGGGCAAAGACATACCTACGAATTCTGCAACTTTTTATAATCTACTCTCTAAGACAAAACTTGAAGAATTTTAAAAAAATGCAAAAGGAAATGAAAAATTTCACATCTTCTTTGAGGGGGAGGGGATCCAATGTCGTAACTGATAAAAATAACTAAACCATTTCTTAAATTGCTACTAAAATACAAAATTTAGTAAAAAATTTTCTCTAATAGCCATAAATGTGTATTAAAATCATTTCATTTAAAACAAATGAAGTGGCATACACAAAAATTAACTGTATAAATAATAATATACACAAAAATTAGCAATATAAATATTTGGATAAAAAAAAAAAAAAAAAAAAAAAAAAAAAAAAAAAGAACTTAACATTTTACACCATACACATTTGTTCCGGTTTGACTAGAAACTTTCCTTTGCCGATATTCCAGTTTCATTAGAAACAAACTTTTCTCTGCCTCGGAATGGCAACAGTGAGAACTTGACCTTTCGATTTATTATGAGGCAGCTAAAACGCTGCTCATGAGATGTAACATTAGATTTGATTCTAGATTAGATTAATTTTAGTATTTTAATAAATCCCTTTAAAGCTAGATTGCGTATTTGATCATAGAATTATAACTGAACCACCGCTTGCAGAAATTCAGATGTGGCTTTTAGATACGTCGTTAGATTCATAGTTAGATGCGTAGGCAGTGCCATTTGTTGATTCGATTAGTGTACATTAGTGCATACATAAACAACATTTATTGTGAGCATCAATAACTATGTTCCATGATGTAAGTCGATAAATTCAATCAATGAACTGGAAATTGTACAGATTACTCTCAGTTTTTCAAAATCTATGTGAAACTAATATTTATTTATGATGGGAGCCATGACTTAAAAGATCATTTGCTAAGCGACTATAATTCATATCTGAATGATACTAATTTTAGTAACTGATTGCATTAGCTAAGGAAGATATAACAGAAATGTTAAAAAGAGAAAAATTTATGTTAAATGAAATTACGTACTACCTTGCAGCAAACCAGTTTCAAATGTATGTGAAAATACACTAGCAATTTGCATTTTAGAATTCCCTGAATATGTTCTTGATTATTAAGGTTAAACAAATAAGAACATGAAAGAAAAAAGTACTTAAAACATTCTACAGAAGTTATTATTTATAATAACAATTCTTAAATTATATTAGTATAACTATACATTAAAAGCTACAAAAAATTGTTTTGTAGCAACAGAAAACAACATAATGTTTATGTGTCTTTTTAACTTAAAAATTTTCTACATATTTTAACTAATTTACATCGAATTCCTTCTCTTTATCACCTTTTCTAAGTTTATTTGCTTCAATAAACAAATAAATGTTCCAACTAGTCTCTGCTTCAGCTCCTAATTTGTTAATAATTCAACAACACAATTTTGAAGAATAATTTTCTCTAAAAACAATTCAACCACGTAGTATACCTTTATTACTTTTTCAATGAATTTCCTCTTTGTTTAATTAAAGATTTCCGTTATTCTAAAGAACTGCTTGTGATGTATAGAAGAAACCACTAATTTTATTTCTTTAATAATACAATTATTGAAAGTAAATATAAAATACCATAAGATGGCGTGCAGCCAGTGTGGCAGAATTTTTAGAATTTAGTGATGCATCAAAGCAACAAATTTTAGAACATGTACTGAGGTATGTATGGCGCACTGAGACATATATGATGAATTTTTTATTTAATTGTAAGTTTTCAATTTCTTTGCTTTCTTTGATTGCTATGATGCTTGTGTTTAGTGGAAAGGTAAGAAAATAAAAGGTAAAAAACATATTAACCCTAGAATGCTACCCATTCATCTCCTGGGTGAAGCCAATACCAAATAACCTTGCATTTCCTACCCTAAAACAGGAAATGGGACATGCAACTCAATACCTTTATATGACCTTATCCATATAAGGGCATTCCTTCTTACCAAAATATTTCTGCACATGACATTTTCAGAACAATATTAATTCATCTTACAGACAAATAACATTTGCATTTCAGAATCCGACTTGGATTTATTTCTGTGTTGCCTAGAAGATGTCAAAATGTTTTCACCTTGAAAATTTTTGGGCTAGACCTGAGGCTATCCAAGATCTGTCAAAAGAACTAAGTGATGAAGAAAATTCTATTTTAGGAGTTGAACTGGATAAAGATGATTTTGTTGAAGTTGAAAATCACAAATTGACAGATCGCAACAAAGATGAAAATGTGGAATTTTCATTTGACGATAAAGATGAAGAATAAACAACGCTTGGGGGAAAAAAAAAAAAAAAAAAAAACAGGAAGAAGAAAAAATTATTTTGAAATATGAAGCTAAAAAGAAAATGCTACACATGTTAAAAAAATTTTGAAATTGTTTTTAGTCATGTGACAAATCTATTATTTACACCACTAAAATTCAGCTCAATGGTAAGTCAAAATGGTCATTTGTTCCTAAATCAAGCGACACAAGGACAGCATCTCGCAATATTACTCAATTTATTAAAGGACTGAGCCACTTTGGATCAGATATGCAGCAACATGTCATGTAGTAAAATAACTCGTCCATGGCCCCTTTGTGTATTTTATGGCATGATAAATATCAACTTAGTGAATGCACGTTATATGTGTGCATAGTATGGCTCGAAAATGCAAAAAGGTATTATTGAGAAAAGTTCACAATAAAGCTAAGTGAAGATGTTCTTGCTCCATGAAGCGTTTCACTGTACCAAATTTGTTTGGAACAGCAAAAACAATTAGAAGGAAGCTGTTAAAATTAGATTTGAAAATTCAACCTTCCGAACAGTATGACAGTATTTGTGCATTTTGCCTGTTGCGTAAAATCACATGCAACTTTTGTCAACATGTTCCACAGCACGGAAAACATCATGCTAATATGTGTAAAGACTGCTTTGAGAATAAATAAATGATACCTTCTTGTTTACTTGAGGTTTGGAAGTCATAAAATCACAGCAGGTCTAACACCTTTAGTCTGATTAACTTTTAAAACAGGTAGGATGTCCATTTTGTTTCAGAGAAAAATTTTACCATTCCCGTAAGTTTTTCAAAAGGTAGCATTCTAGGGTTAAGAGGAAGTCTTCTGGGAGCAAAAGGAGAAAATTCAAATAATTTCCTTTTCACTTTTCTTCCAAAAATTCTCCAAAATATAATTTATAAAAATTTTTCTATAAAATACATCCATTATCATACTTGTCAACCTATGACACTCAAAAATCAGGAGATTTTTTTAAGAAATCAGGAGATTTTTCACAATGTTAAAAAGACCTTTTAAATGATAAAAAAATATAGTTTTTAATAATGAATTAACTTTAAATAGTTACTAAGTCTTAAATGCAAGCAAAACAAAATACCTTAGACATAAAAAACATTTTTATTACTTTTATCGTTAAAAAAAAAAAAAAAAAAAAAAAAAAAAAAAAGGCACTTTAATCAGTTTTCATACAAATGTTATGGACAGTGGCAGATTTTGTTCTCGTTAAGAAAGAAACTTCATAATTTTGTTCATAGCAATTGCTACGTAGGCCTGCTTTCGCTAATAAAGTTTTTCTAATGTGTCATCACTAATATTAGATCTAAATTTAGTCCTCGTTTTCGCAACAACACTGAAAATCCTCTCACACTCCGCATTACTATGGGGAACTGTCAAGATGGCCAACATAATTCTAGAGAGTTCACTATATTTTAAAATACCATCAGCACCTTTCAATTTTCCAATTAACCTCCACTGGGTGTCAATCCTAGCTGATTTTATAACTTCATCCAAGTTTTCTAATTGTAAACTGCAAAATTGCGACTGCAGTATATCAGTAGCAACATCAATATCATCATCTTTCATGACTAAACGAAGTAACACAGGAAATCTGTTCAAAAAGTACCTTATATCAAAAAAAGATGCATTTGCTAGAGCAGAAACATCACAAACTTTAGCATGCAAAATCACTTCATCGTTGACTGGAAATTTATGTAGTGTGTAATCACATACTCGACAGAAGTAACTTCTAACATGAAGATAAAACTTATTTTTGTCTTCTTCTGAAAGTTCTTCCACTACTTTTGTAGTTGCAGTTCCTATTACCAAATCTTCATTTTCCTTCTGATTTTCTGTTTCACCATAAATCACATCATATATAGAATTACAAGACAAAACACAGACTGGTTTTACAAACTTTGATAAAATGTCTTTAAACAGATCATAAATCATTGATTGCAAAACATGAATTAATGGAATTCTGCTTTGTAGAATTGTGTTCAGAACATCGAATGATGGCAAAATGAATTGTAAAAAAAAGCAAAAGCTTTGTTAAGGTCCGAAGAGAAAAACATAAATATTCGTTCTTCACAAGATAAACTTACAGTAATCGGAAAATGTTTCGTGTGTTGAGCAATTTTTTTTTTTTTTAAATTTTGAGAGAAATTTGTATCAGCTTTACGCTTATATTTTGCAGTACTATTTTGAGAACTGCCAGTTGAATTGCTGAATGATGCAGAAATTACAAAAAATCAAAATTTTTCTCATTTCAGTATTATGAAGCTGTTGGAACTGTTTCAATTTTTCCTTTCTTTTAGAACTCCTTTCAAGATAATAATAAATATCAACAATGCGTTCATCCACATTTAATGGTAAAGAAGCTGCCCCTTTTTCAGTTGCTAAATTTAAGAGGTGAGAGGTGCACCTCATAATCTGCAAATCTGAATTTGCCTTTCTTAAGATGCCTGCAACACCAGTCTTCAAGCCTACCATTACTGGTGCATTATCGGCACCAAGCGCTAAGCAATTATCTAGAGGGACTGCATTTTATTTTAAAGTTTTAATAATTAGCTGTGCTATATTAAAGCCTGTCGAATGTCCTTCTAAAGTGGGGTCACGAAGTAAACTGCACTCAATTTCTGAAGACTCTGGATTAAAAAAAGAAACAACAATTGGATACAGTTTTGAATTGGTATTATTGCTTCCATCCGTAGAGAGGCAGAACGGAGCTGTTTTAATGCAATCAATAACTGAAGATTTATTTTTCAAACCCATTTCTTTAACAATTGCACCTGTTTTGGTCCTTGCACTTGAGTATTTCTTAGCGATTTCACTATCTGGAAACATTTTTCTAAATAAAGCTGCAGCGTGATCCGATGCATTCAGTGGCAGGTTGTGCTCCAGTAAAAAGGCAGATAACAGACATTCTGCATTAATCACTTTTTGGTCTTTTGTTTCCGAAGAAAAATTTAATTTTTCGTTTTTTCAAAACAACTCATGTTGTCCTTGTGTTTTTGTGTACGCACATGTTTGAGAACATCTGCCCTTCCACCAAGCGAAATCGAAAAATCGCACAACAGATGGTACACATCGCAAATTTATTACATTTCCTTGAAGAAATAATGGAAGGAAAGTCAACTGTGTACGATTTTTGAAACGTGCACGAGTATTTCACCTTTCTCGCAGACATAACAAAAGACGATAATTTCTAAAACTCTCTTCCTAAAGGCACGTGCACTCACACAACTCAGGACAAGATGAACGAAATAACGAAAGAACATCGAAACATAACGGCCCAACGGCCAAAGAATTTTCTTTGCAATGGCCTTGAGCTTGCTTTGTGCTCATTGGCGAATATATGCCAGATGACACGCAGTGGAGCTCGATGCCCATTGGAGAACTGGAGAACGACGTTTCTGGATACGTATGCTGTCACTCACAAAGCAGAAATTCTCATCCTGATTCGCAAGGTTTCATTTTAGATATAATCTAGAGAAAATTCAGTTGCTTTCAGACGTCCAAAATCACTTTTTTTTTTTTTCTCTTCATTTAACGAAGTATTAAGCCAAGTTCCATTAAAATCGTGAGAAATATTAAGAATAAGAAAAAGTCGGGAGAAATATATTGTAAATCGGGTTGGCGGGAGAGCGGTCGAAAATCGGGAGTCTCCCGCCTAAATCGGGAGAGTTGGCAACTCTGCATTATGTGTTAATACCATCACAACACTTTTCACTTCATCACATTTTTCTGGAAATTGTAGGTCTAACTTGCCTTCAACATAATAACCTATACAAACTGATTTTGATATTCCAAAAATGTTTATAAATCATCAAATTATCACCACAAAATAAAAGAACTCTTATCTCAAGGAAGAAAAAGTTGTTTTTCCTTTAATATTTCATGAATTCTTCATTCAGGGAAGACAAAAATTACTTTGAATATTTATGTAGCAGAACCTCGTGTTCAAAATCATTTCTAAAAATCATGAGATTATTTTTAATACATTTAAGAACCGTACAAATTTAGATTGTAGTATAACACTCAATTAGGTTATGGAGTTCAAGGATTTTTTATTCATTAACATAAATTGCAGCAAAAAAACTCAATTTTGACATAAAACACACAGAAAGTGTTATTGACAACTAAATGGCTTAATTTTTAGATAATCTGAATTCCCCGAATTTCAAATATTTATACTTTCAAATTATTTGTGCCAAAAATATTAACATATTTTTCACAGAAATTTAAGGCAACATTCAGAATTTGTAAATTTCAGTAAACAAAGCATTTTATATTCAAAACAGAAAGACAAACACAGCACAACACACTGACCTGAATTTCGGCATTCATACTTAATATTAGCTACCCCAGAAATGTGTGTGAAGTTACTTTTATAAAAACAGAGGATTTTTCATAAGCACCATACCAGAAAAAGAACATAAACACTATGTCTACAAATAAAATTTAAACACCTGGATCCTTGTTCGAATAGCTTTTATATTCACGGCCCGCTCTTTTCCCTTCCTAGTAACTCCAATCTGAAATTGGACCACATCTCCCTTTTGAAGAAATTCATGTTTGTCTTCCAAACTAGTAATACCAAATTCATATTCTGGAAGGTTTTCATCCATATTTTCAGCTGCAAATTAAAAAAATTATAAAAAGTACAGTTTAAAAAAATATGTTCCAACAAAATTTAGTAGTAAAATTTTTTAAATATAATATAAATTTAATTAGAAAATAATCTCACTCTTCTCTTTGCTCTGATGTGTAATAGCACAGAAAACTATATTTGAAAAAGTAATTATAATTAGACTTCTACTCCTACATTCATTGATAAAATATCCTTCTGATTTACCACATTCTTTTAGCATTAAGGAAAATAATGTTATAAGTTATGAAATGCTTGCCCAGCAAGAAGCCCCCAACTTAGTTGAATGCAGCCCGTTAAATATTTTCGTGTCGTGCAAGAACAAGCTGTAATGTGATGGAATGCTGCAGCCCATATGTTTCTATTCCTTTCTTCCATTACAACCCCAACTATGATTATAAACACACAGGAGCAATTTAAACTATGTTTCATCACTCACTCAACATTTTGGATGATTTATATTATTTATTTATCTCAAGAAAATATTCATGAACTTTAAAGGGATATTTTTTTCAATATTATAATTTCTCTTAGGGAGCAAGTTAAAATATTATACAACAGAAAAGCACATTGTAAATACAAAATGCAGTTCACAGTATACTATATTATTAATGCTGAAGAATCATCCTGTTCATAATTCACAAATTAAGCCTCACCATATTTAAGTACTTATTACCTATATATAGATTAACTCGGATACAGAATGTAATATGCTACACAGAGTGGATCAGAACTCTTATTGTACATATTACTTACTTTATCAATAGAAAATATTTTTGAAAAATTTTAATTTATAACTTTACCGTGAGAAGCCAAGCGAATTTTTCCTGAATAAAATTCTTGATCTGGATTGAAGCATCTCACAGGATTCAAAACTACTCCGTTTAGTATTTCTGGTTTTATATCTTCTTTTGGTATTGTACCATTTGGTAGTTTACGAACACATTCAGCACTTAACTTGTTCCCTTTATGGGTGAGACCATATTCTACTTCTTGACCTACTTCCAACGCTGAAACATTGCCATCAAACACACTAGAAAAATAATATTGATTAAGATACTTTTAATAAATAGGATGTGCAAAAATTATTTAAAATCTCCCCGCATTAAAAAAAATCACTGAAATCTTTGGATTACATAAGCATTGCCTGGAAATAATTCTAATAACATTTTACAAATAAAGTATGATACTTGCATACTGTTTGTCTACCACAGGAAAACTCTTCCAACATAATATCTCCAATGAGATATGCTATAAGTTCATCACGAATTACAATCAGATATAGAATTTTTAAGAACTGACTAATGTATTTTATTGGCAAGTGAGAAAATGACTTGAAAATTTAATTTCTGGAGAATCCATGCAATTTTGTAACTGACACAAGAATGAAATGGAAGAATAACAAGGTTATTAACATTATTTCTAGCAGCAAAATGTCTTGTTTGATGGAAAGATGAACATTTTTTAAAGGCTTTATAAGTAAGCATGGAAGAAAATCCTCTGCCAATGGCAACTGAGTTCAAATAATTGATTTCATTAGGATTGGATTGGATTGGATTGGATTATTTAATTATGGCAAAGCACACGAGGCTATCTGCCTAAAGGGGGGATGCCTTCGTGGAGGACTTTCTAAGGGAAACTGGCTCGTATACACGTTACACATGGGGAAAACCACGAAAACACCCATGCAGCCAGACCGTTCGCGGGATTCGAACCTCGGAACCGAACTACCAGCGTTCAGCGACTTTACCGCTCGGCCGCTGGTGGGCCAGGTGATTTCATTAGAAATCACCTGGTGATTTCATTAGAAAGCAGGATTCTGAGCAGCAAACTCTCAAGAGCACAAAATACTAATGGCAAAAAAGTCATATTTTTGCTTGGCTGGGTGACATGATAAAATCCATTGTTTGATTCTTCATTTCTGACTTTAATTCTTGGAGCATTTATAACATATCTTGCCAATGGGGGGGGAGAAAAGAATAATTTTTAAAGCAATAAAATGCAAATATAAAAACCAAATGATAGGATTAAATTGCATTATTCATAAAAAATCTATCATTAGGCAGTTAAGTATAGATATTCAATATATAAAAGAATACATTTAATTACAATTAAAACAATGTGATCAAAATTCTTTGAATTGCATATTCACAGTCAGAAATACTCGCATGAAAAACGAGAAGTGGAATTAAATAATGAAAAGGTTTAGGAGCAGAAGAAAGTTAATGAAATACCTATAATGAAAGAAAACTTCTTTTTCATGTTCCTCTGTCTCAATAAAACCAAAAGTATCTTTTAGAGCAGCTACAAATCCACGATGAGAATAACGAAAACCATTGCGAGTTTTAGGCAGAACTTTCACATGTGATGCATACAACTTATCATCTTTGTTAACAATAATAAATTCCACCTAAAAATAATATATATTTTGAGAATATTTTTAGTACATGCAGACAATTAAAACTAAAAAAGAGTGATGTAATATTACACAATGTTGGGGAAAATACAAACTTATTTTGAGTATAAGTTCTAACAGAATAAAGCTGCTGTTCTGGAAATTTACACAAATTGGAATTCATTTTAAAACTCTATACAAATTGCAGCTGATTTAAAAACTCATACAGCATTTATAAGCATGTATAATGAACTTAAAAAATAAGTGTTTTATTCAAATTATTTGATGCTTATGTTTGGCACTTTTTACAAGAGTAAGAATTTGGTTTTTCTCAATTTCCTTTGACTTTTTAAGCATGCAAAATTACTGTGCATCAAAATTAGCATTAGAGTGATTAAGATAAACATCTTATACAGACTGGATGAGAAACACATAGGCAAAATAGATGACAGTTTAAAAAAAAAAAAAAAAAAAAAAATAAGAATAAAAATAAAATAAAAAAGGAAAACATTAGAATAAAGTTTTATTGGTCTATAATGTTACAAGTTTGAAAATTTTATGCACCAATTTATGTTCAAGTTAGCTGTTGTCTTGTGTCTACTAGAAAATTTAGAGAGTGGTCTCCACTAGAATGCATGCATTTGAAATCGTACCTCAAAGATTCCCATGACACATCTGCGAAAATAGTTTCAGTCTCCTTGGTTATGCAGTCTTTGAGATCTTACAGTATTTCTTGCTTGTGTTTGAAAGTGCTCTCTTTCAAATAACCTCAAAGAAGAAATCAGGAGCAGAAAAAACTGGAAAACATATAAACCAAATCCTATCTCCAAATACAAAAATCACATCCCCCAAACTATATAACACCAGCAAACATGCTTATATAAGCTGCAGCTTTACTGGAACTATAGGCTCATTTGGTTAGGGATAGAAGTGAGTATCAGAACAAAAAACAGGGTTGCCACTCTAACAGGAAAATGACTTTTTCAGGTGTGTTTTACGAAAATTCCAGTCTATCTGCGTAATGCACGTTGGCTGTGCTAAGAAGTAAATTAATTATGGTACCACTTGAAAACACAAAAATTTGCCATTTATATATGACTTATATATATATATATATATATATACACCTGGCTTATATATATAATCCCCAAAGCATTACTATTATAACTATAATAGGAACTGTTTTCTCCACTGAAGGTTGAGATTAGAATCTGCCCAATCTGGATTAAAAAAATGTCTTTTTTTACATACATTTTGCAGTTAAACAAAAGAAAAATCTATTTAATGATATTTTAAAATAAATTCAGGCATTTTATATTTATTTAGCAGCATACATATACAAAAAATATGTGTATTAAATTTCGTGATGGTATGTCATCATACTGCTAGAATTGGTTTCAGGATTATGCCAGAGAAAATTTCCTGAAATTTGAAAGCATTATTTACTAATAATAAAAATAAATTTAGAGGGAAGAAGCAACACTAAATGATACAAATAAAATTAAAATAAAGATGATTATTTAAAAACTGAATTAGAATAATCAACATTATTTTGGTGATATATAGTTATATTAAATGGTTAGCCTAGGTGACTGATTAAAATTTTTTTATTTTACTGCAAAATGAAAAATAAGGCATTTATTTTTTTTAAAAGATTTTGCGGTAAAATCCTATTACGGCGGCCTTGGCATGACTTTGAAAACAGTCACCAACACCAAAATGACCCGTTCACTGCTTATTATACATAATGTCTCCAAATACGGTACATGGAGGCTATTCTAACCTCCATAGTACCTTATACTAGGATTAAACTGATTTTATTTTATATGAGATTACCTATTTTCCTTAGTTCAACATGTACTGCATATTCGCATGCGAGTCTCTCGATTCTCGAGGCTACTGGAAACCAAAGTTGCCGGAAACTTGCTTTGTCTTTCAAAGCAAAAGAAAGTGATCGCGTTCAATGTCGGCGCAAAACTCGCTTTTTTGGGGGGAAGGGGGAATCACCATACGAAATTCTGATGTTTCCAGATATTGACTAAAATATTTAAATTCTCTGAATTTTTTGGTCAATTTTCAAATTCCCAGACTTTTTCCGGTTTTCTCGGTAGCGCGGCAACCTTGAAAAAATGCATACCTCACTGTTACATAATGTTTTGCACAGGAATTCTCGACCAAGTAGTAATTTTATAGCTTCAAGGAGGGAATGTGGTCAGCCTTTTATTTACCTGTTAGGTTATTTAATTTTAGTTTATGAACATAAAAAACTACTTTTATACAAATTTTGGTATTTATGAATATTTTCTATACTTTTTTCCTGCTGAATTTATAAAACACATTAATAAATAATACAAATTTAAATAAAAGTTCATGCATTTTTTAAATTTCTGAAAGGAAGGGAGCAGAAATGATTGTCCAGTAATGGTGAAATCTATGCATGTAGCAACAAACAAACAAACAAAAAGGTTTAGTAGTTACTATACTGTAATTATTACTGTCTTAAAAAAATACAGCCAGATAATAGAAAATGATGACACTGCACACTAAATAGTAATCTCTGGACTATGTAAAAAAGCACTGATGAAGCTCACACAAGAGATTTTCTTTATATTAGACCTTTACAGCAGCAATGTAATACTACACTGGCCAACACTCCACAACTAACTGAACTCCAATAATGCAGCTTTCCATAGTATATGTTTCAACTAAATCATAAACTAAAGACTGCCCAGCTAAAAAATAATGTGAGAAGATATCTGAAATGTCAAAGCACTAATTTTTATCTCCAGTGCGGCAAACTGTATATCGGAAATTCTAAAGATATGCTCATTTTAAAAGTATTTTGTGACATTGCTATTGAACGAAATTTTATGGGTTAAGTGCAAAGAACACGATATTTAATAAATAAAGGTAACACACAAAACCGTTAAAAAAACGCTTCTTTGGACGTAATTTAAAATCTGAAACATTTCAGTTTTTTTTTTTTTTTTTATAATTGTTTTTGAACTCACAAAGAGACTACTTTTCAAAGTACTGTGTGAAGAATATAGGAAAACCACCATAACACCTCTTGCTGTTGGCTGAAGTAGGTGACAGTCTCTAGGAAAAGTGTTCATATTTGATGGAACTGCCTGGCGAAGTACTTTACATCAACCATAATACTCTACTGGTTATGGTTTTAACTCATGAAGTCAGGATGCATAAACTGACATATTTTGCTGACAATTTTAACAAAATGAATCTATTACTGCAAAAGAAAAATGCCACAGTTTTTTATGCAAATATCCAAGTATGTTTTGAGAGAAAACTTATTGGTTGTAGTGCATGGAGAAGGATATCAATCACTTTCCTCCTATAAAGTTTCTTTACTTTATAGGAGGAAAGTGAATTTAAAGTTATAGAATATAACTTTTAAAAAAAAAGAAGAAAATACAATAAAACACTCAGATGTATTCCAAGTTCTGAAAGACTCCTTTGAATATTATCTTACAACAGTTAAGAGAAGCTGCTTCATAACTTTTAAATGGGTACTGAATGAGTTTGGGCAAGACCACCCAATTTAGCAGACTATGAGATCCTTACAGATTAGAGATCATGCTTAGAAACTAAAGTCTACAAGGGTTGTTCTGTTCAAGATGGGTTCAAAATTTTGTATGAGAAAGCAATTTAGTATTACTGCCTTTCTTAACTTCATACTTTCATAAAACGGGATTTTACACCTATAAAGAACTAAAACAAAACACACATGCTGCTTAAATGCAGAAAGCAGATGCTTTGTCTGCCATATGATTATAATAATTGGTTGATGATAATATCAACTGAACCTAAAATCAGGAAACTAAGCAAAAAATTGCAACTAATGATGTGACATTAAATGTTTATTCATTATATATTTTGTCCTAATTCAGATCTAGAGTTTCACTACAATGCAATTTACTCATAGTACAGTTAATAAAACTAAACTAGAATAGTTTTTTTACAATGAATAATAAAATTTCAAAAATACACCTATTTGAATTAAAATGGAAGTAATGATTAAATTGGAGTAACTGAATTTATTGTAATGACTTTACTGTTACTCCGATAAAATAAAAAGTGCTACAATACAAATGGTTTAATTTATTGAATTTTAGAAGAACTTTAATGAATGGCTGAGTCTGCACAATATATAATTAATGGCAGTTGAGAATCAAATGCAACATTCTGGACAATTTCAAAGTTTTTAAAATATAACTTGTAGACAATGTGCAATTTTTAGATATCTCTTTACATTCCCCTATCTATGCCCTTTTTTACTTCTTTGTACGAAGTAAAAAGGAAGTTTCAGGCAGCATATTTCAATGAAAATATCCATTTTGACCACTATCGAGTGCAAGTTAACAATGTTTTTGCATGATATCTGTACGTAAGGACAGAATAAAAGACTCGTTTCCTCCAAAAAAATTGTAAAACTGCTTTAAAATTAATTCTGAAGAGAATTTTTTGTGGCGTGTGTACGAACGCATGTACGTATCTCGCATAACTCAAAAACGAGTAGTGAGAGTGAGAGATTATGGCACAAAAACCAAGGACGATTATAACGCGCCAAACACGAGATGGGTGGATTACAATTGATGAAGTTAAAATACAAAAAATAAAAACAAGTAGACAAATGTACCAAATCCAGAGGATGAAGTCATATAAAAACAAGTTAAAAGCACACATTTAAAATTCAAGACACAATCTTCAAAACAAATTACATTACTTAGTAAAAGCCAGTCTCTTTTAAATAATAAAATAAATTACAATTGATCTCTCTTCCGATTAAACGGTCAAGAGATAAGTCACAGCTATTAAAATACTTCTGGCGAAGACTATTAAAACATGGACACTCAATTAAAATATGACAAACAGATAAACAAACATTATAATTAGAACAGACAGGCTCATTTTCAGCTTTGAGAAGATAGTTATGTGTTACTCTAGTATGACCAATTCTGAGGCGAGTCAAAAGAACTCCAGCAAAATCCCAATGC